ACCAATTTATGCGATTGGGGGGACGCGTTAGGGACGTGTTCAGACGCGTCAGAGTTACTCGGGGCCAAGTACGCGTATTTGTCACTAAGGTAAACACAATATACGACGATATTATAACATTAGATCCGGAAAGAGCTTCTAAAGCCCACAATTCAAGACAGAGCCAGATTTAGTACGCTTATTGCGCCTGGCAATCTCAAAATTTGGATGTTGGACGCCAGCGCCACTGTCAACTCAGAAGAGTACCAGCCTCAAACGCCGTGCAACTTTAGCAGTAAGGTAATAAAGATCCGCTAATGACTATTTAATCCCGTAATACGGAAGGACGTTTAGTTTACCGAACGGTCTTGTCCTTAATCGAATTGTTACAGGAAAGTGTCCGTGGAGGTGGTAGCGCCTTGCACACTTTCTTGTACAATGCTCAATCCTATTTCTATGTGCAAATATCAGCGATAGCAAGGAATTATAATATCGGAGATGTACAAACTGGATGACCCTCGCTGCAATACAACATTTGCTTACATCTCTGGTAAGCCTGGAATACGCTCTTCTTCCCTTCCTATCCTGCTTCCTCTTCGGTATCACAACCCACGAGCTGTATTTAATAGACCATTTTTTGAAAAGCATCACTTTCACATTACTGTAATGGCGTTCCGCCACTTAGACACCGAGATTTCTGTAGGTCGAGTGCCCCACGGGCTCTGTAGCGGGACACCGCGGAAGGATGCACAGAAAAGGGAAGTAATCAAGGAAACTCTGTGGCGGACGGATTGCGGGACCTGTGAAAAGATGCGGCCCGAATTGCTTGTGGTGTGCGCGTAGAAGACGATGAATGGAGGAACAAATCCAAAAGCAAGATCGGAGACTAGTGCTGGGACAAGTAAATGAATTTGAGTGAAGCAAGGTGCATGTTAGTTCTCCAAAGTGCAATTCATTTTTTCTTGGCAGCCGTTAGCTGTTTCGACATGAACGTCCGGGGTGTGACACATCCACAAAATTATAAATCATTTACTTTTAGCGGGGCGTTCATCTTTCGTCCACTTGCATTTACTCAGTTCAGCAGGATAGTGGATGGCAACGCCTGTATAATCTTCATTCCGATTTGTCACGATCATTGGTATATCGCCGTACCCATGATCGTACATATATATTGTGCAACATAAGAGGGTCTGCATTTACAATAAGCTTTGAGTCATACATGACACCTCAGTTTATTCGGGATGGGCTTACCATTACGTCTGTGACTTGAAAGTCTCGATCTTTTCCCTACTTATGCCTCTGTGCGTCCACATGCATTCTTTCTACTATGTAATATCGAACTCTGAAATCCACAAGATTCATCAGTAGCGGCCCGTTCGTGTCAAACATGTGGGAGAACAGGTCCCTATTCTTTATCATCATGTGCACATTACTCTCAACTTCAGCTATTAGATACTTGGTCCCGTTTCCGTACTAATCCTTGTATGGAGAGTTTGCGCATTTACACCCCTTTACACTCGAGCAAAGTATTTTCATTTTCGTTAGAGTAGAACTCCCTGATCCGCTCGATCCTGGGTACATCGAGCTCTTCAGGAGCCAGTTCTGACTTTAAGATCAACGCCTTTTCTTTCGGGATGGCCATTTACCTGGAAATTAAAGAAGTAAATGCGTTGGGAGCTTTAAAAGTCTTATCTTCGGAGTACCGCGACGATTGGGAGTCGATGGTGAGATTACAGCGAGGAAGAGATCAGCGATGTATTTGTCGCCGTTGTTATGCTAGCATGTGCTGGCGACTCGACGTGGCTAACGGTAAATGCCGCGATCCCTCAAAAACTGACCTTGGATACCGCCTCCATACTGAAATTTACCTCATGTATTTCCCAACGGCTGAAAAAATAGTTTTGGAAATTACTGGGGGATACTTATGGGCATATGAGGTAAGACAATCTAGTTGGAGAATCATCAGAGCTGAGAACTGCTAAATCGAGCTCAACTGCTAGTATCGTGCGGCTGCTTTACGAACATGCAGCAACCGATAAAGTTGACAGAAAGCTATCGCCTTCGAGAAGGCCTTCCACCGTCGACAATTTTACTGAATTGCTTTTTATCTCGTCGCCAATAGCGGTCTAGAACTTCCTAAAAGCGGACGACTACAGCTTTTCGCGAGTGGATGTCCAAGCTGAATCGCGCCCTCTTTCCATTTCAACGCACGAGAATTTATCTTACAGTCATGCTTCCGTTGGCCGTATTCGACTCCGTGAAAGTTAGAGATGATGAGTGCCAGGATCGGTGAACACTGACGATGCGAATTAACGTTGTCCTATAACCTTCAGATAGTATCGTAGGCGCACGCATGTCACCTATTTTTCTCCGTCGATAAACACAACATTCGATTTGCCACCATCAGAGATTTACCTCTTGTATACTCATCTGTTACGCCACGAAATTTCTGCCCCCGAACAACTCCATCTGTAGCCAAGTTCCTCGTATAAATCTATGTCTTACATTCCCAACACGGCTTCTCTCTCTCAAAACATCATGGCGTACATGTATCCTATCAATAGCTTCTGCGGCGTCTTTTTATTCTTCTGCGTCTTGATTTTATCCACGGTGATCCGGAGACGAAGGGAAAGGAGACTTGCTAATCCAAAGAATTTGCCCTATCCTCCTGGCCCCAAACCTCTACCTATACTCGGGAACTTGTTCGATTTGGCCCGAGATAATGAAGCTGCCACATATTATCAGCTCGCAGAGCAATTTGGTGCGTAATCAATTCTTAATTCGTGCAGTTTTGTTTTATTGTCATTTAACAGGGGATCTTTTCTTTTTGAGCGTGTTTGGGCAGAATGTCCTCGTTGTCAATTCATTTCAAACTGCCAACGAACTTTTTGAAAAACGATCAGCAAATTATTCTGATCGAGGGAGGTCCACGATGGTACACGAGCTGTATGTAATCGTATACGTATTTTCTACATGGGCTAAATCTCGACCAGAATGGGTTGGGAATGGAGCTTCGCCCACATGCGTTATGGTGGGCGTATATCTTTTCATTTAACTCCTCCATGTCATCAATGCTTTTGTTCTTAGGTGAGAACTGGCGAGCACATCGAAAAATATTCCACCAGCAATTCCAACAGTCGGTGGCACCTACGTACTGGCCTTTACAGATCAAGGAAGCGCATTCTCTTCTTCGGCGACTCCTTCGTGCACCGCAGGATCTTACTGTGCACATGCGGCAGTATGCATTGTACTTCATTCAGCACCTTCGTGTTATTGATTTCAATTTTCAATAGTACTGCATCTAGCATCGTCATGAGCGTTATATACGGCATAAGCATCGCACCCCAAAATGATCCGTACGTCAATATGTCGGAGAAGGCGCTGGATGGGATGACAAAAGCTGCTAATCCCGGTGCCTTCTTGGTCGACTTAGTACCACTTCGTAGGTGTCTTTTCATCTATGTATCTCTCATGGTTAACTCTATTTCTCTAGTGAAATATATTCCGTAAATCTTGTGCTCTTTTTGTTTACCAATTATAGTACTCATTTATTACAGTGCTTGGTTCCCTGGGGCTGGCTTCCAACGCAAGGCATACGAATGGAAGAAAGCCTGCCTTGAAATGCGAGATGCTCCCTTCGACTATGTTCACAGGGCATTGGTAGGATTTCTCTTTTATGCTTGTAATACATTTATCTGACGCCTTTGTTAGAAATCGGGGCGGGCTTCCTCTTGTTTCGTAACTAATGCCATATCAAATCTGGATACTAAAGAACCGCAACCAAAAAGCTTGGATATTATCAGGCAATGTGCGGGTGTTGCTTATGCAGGTAAGTATTATTATATCTCCAAATTCTCATCTCCTCGATTAAAATACTCTCATGTAGCTGGTGCAGAGAGTGTGCGTTGCTATCTTTTTTTTCTAACCTTTATGTAATTTATACTATCATTTTTTAGACAATGTCTACTCTAACTACCTTCATTCTCGCCATTGTCACAAACCCCGAAGTCCAAGTCAAAGCTCAAAAAGAACTCGACCGCGTTATCGGTCATAGGAGACTACCAGAGTTTAGTGATCGCCCTTCGCTGCCGTATATTAACGCAATTGTAAAAGAAGTTCTGAGGTGTGTCGATACGTTCGCGCTTCCAACACTACAACTAATCTGTATTTGTTGCGAGATGGAATCCAGTTGCACCACTTGGTCAGATTCTCTCTCCTCACATATTGGAGTACCTCTAATTTTGCCATGATTTCAAAGGTCTACCGCATATGGTTACAAATGACGACGAATATAAGGGCTACTTTATTCCTGCTGGTACAATCGTTGTTGGAAATTCCTGGTCCGTGATCTCGCCTACTCTCCGACATCGTACTCCACTAATACCTGCTAATATCTTGGTAGGAGAATTCTTCACGATCCTCTTCTCTATCAAGAACCACATAAATTTAACCCTGACAGATTCTTGAATACAGCTGAAGGTCTTCAGTTCTCCCCTGTTGATCCTTTGTCGGTGTCGTTTGGATACGGTAGAAGAGTCTGTCCCGGAAGGTATATGGCCGAGGCGCAAGTATGGATCTCTATTGCGTGCATGTTGAGCGTGTTTGACATTACGCCGGGAACGGATATCAATGGAGAGAAAATGACTTTCGAACCTGCCTTTTCCTCAGGAATGATATGGTGAGAATATGCTTCTTGATTGTTGCTATAGTTAGTGCTAACAGTTGGCGAATAATACAGCCACCCGCTACCCTTTCCCTATAGAATACAGGCTCGAGGAGAGTTTGCGACTGCATTGATTGATCAAACTGAAGATATTGCAGCCTAGATTACACTTCGAGGCTTTGCTATATTCGTGTAGTTTCAAAGACATGCTGTGCAATTAATTCATTGTCCGCGGAACAAAATCAATCTGTCATTGGGTAAATCATCAAGGGCCGTCCTTGACCATACCCTGCAGCAGAGTTTAGACTTTATAAAATGCTGAATTCAAGGGATGGAACAAATGAATACATAAAAATTACTCTCTGTCTGGGAGTCGAACCCAGCTTTCGCGCGATCATGTAAATGACAAGCGCGTGTACTAACCGATATACTAACAAAGAACTTATAATTGAAAGTGGTAACAACAGTAACATCTCATATGTAATACCAGTAATCGTAAAGACTATTTATTTTCGTTCTATGAGATTGCATTTTATGAAAATAAAGCGCGAGAGCATGTTACAACAACTATTATACACATGTTGCAACGATTTGATCCTAGTAAACTCGATTATGTTCTGAAGTCAATCCCAATCTCCTCGTATCTAAAAGTTACAGAAATCTATGTTCCAGAAAAGAGCTCCAGCTACAGAATTCCAGTCCAAGTTTCGATGAGATCCACAACACAGTAGTTCTCTATTGGAACATACTGCTTTGTGACCATCTTGATCACCTCTTGAGCGACCAGACCACCGAGGAGAGCTGCAGTGTTGGGCAGGTCGGCGGTGGGTGCACGGGCACTGTAGGTTTGAGTTAGTGTCGGAATATCACTAACGAGAAGGAGGGGAAAGCACGTACAGCTCGCCAACAGCATTCGCCCATTCCTCTTCAGGCAGCTCAGTGCCAGAGGGCAGGAGAGCTTGAGCTTCCACAGTGAGGGATTCGATGGTAGGTGTGAGAGGTGCGTTAGGCTGCTGTTTGGTGATCAAATTTGCGAGTGCTGAGAGTGCGAGGTGGATAGCGAGCTGTTTGGGCGAGGTCTGAATGAAGTTTGCTGGAAATGGGAGTATCGGTATAGGTTCAAGAACAAGAACTTGAAATGAAACTTACCCAGTGTCTTTGGCTCCTTATCAACCGCACCCCATTGCTTCCCCCTCATCACCTTCACAGCATGCACATTCTTCACAAACGCATCGAGCATAGACTCATCCACCTCCACATCCGCTGGCAAATAGCTCTTAAATATACTCTTCTCCTCCTCCGCGCGCGTCTTATACATCTTTTGCAATTCGATGTACGCGCCTGTACTTGCCTTCATATCTGGAAGGGTGTTCGACAACGGGAGGCTATGCTGCGGCTGCTCCTCGACAAACCGTTTCAGCGCATGCAAGAGGTAGAAGAACGGCGGGGAGGTAGCGGAGAGCGCGGCGAGTTTGGGGTCGGAGAAGAGGGCTTTGATCTCGGAGGGGACTACTGTTGGCGTCCAGCAGCGGTAGGCTTGCCCTTCGGCCTCATCGAAGTTCTCTTCGTCTTGTTTGTGTTTCATGGCGAGGATCTGTTTCTTGAAGGCTTGTTTTTCAGGGTAGGTGCTTGGTGGGGAGCCGTCATGCTGTAAAGCGTTAGTTCATGTATTTAGAGGAGTGGCAGGGTACTTACTGCTTTCTTCCATTCCTCGAGGGCGCGCACGAGGATGATGACATACGGGACGTGACCGTGGTCGGTTGGATCCATGTTGTCAAAGTCGAGCGAGAGCGAGTATTCGAGTAGAGCCGGGAAGGGCTTGTCGATCCGTAATGACGGGGATGTTTCAGAGTGGGATTCGATGACTGTATGCACGTTAGCATACGCGCAAAGATAGACACGAAATACGTACTGGTATGCTCGTGAAATTGGATGTAAAACTCGGCCAAGAACCCAGCACTCCTTACTACCACAAGCGGTGGGGCATCCTCGTCCTTCCATAGCACATCTGAGAGCTGATCCAGGGTACTCTGCTGTAGATTATGCGCGATCACGAGCGTGTGTGCCTTCAGCCACTCCTCACCCTCTACGCCTTTCGCCAGCACCTCCTCGACGTTCCTGGCATCCGCCTTGCCATCCACTCCATCGTTCAGTTCGCCGAGTAGGCGGACAGCCTCTTCAGCGCGTTTCTTACCAATGCTGCTCGGCCCCTCGAGGAAGAAGTTGTTCCCTGCATCCTCTGGGGTAGCGGTAGCGTCATCGAGGATGGTGAAGTGTCCGATACCAGGGAGAACGAGATTTTTGAGGATAGATGTGCTTGTTGCGCTCGAAGAGAGTACTAGCAGACGAGCAGATTCGAGAGCAGATTGGCCTGATGCTGCCCAGAGTCTGTGTGGGTGTTAGTACATGTCTACTGCTGCGACATAGCAAGACTCACCGAAGCTGCCTGTCATATCGTCTAGTTTTGCTATCTGGTTGTCCTCTAAATATATTTATTTCATTTTAGGCCACTTCATTCCATCAATCCTGCAGTTGTACTCACTCAGTTATAGGCGCAATCTTCGTCGTTGCCTGCTCGATGTCTTGTGATTCTTCCGATGGCATCCTTCGAATCGTTAGGTTTTATATCCAGAAGCCCTTTTCTTCTTGAAAAGAGTTTAAAAAAGGAATACAGAGAGGTAAGACCGGAACTGAAGCTGAGATGATGAGAGTTGTAAGCAAGTATTAAACGTCATATTGATATCAGATGGACGCGCCTGTCACAGTGTGACGAGACGCTCTTTCATCCTTTCCCCCATCTCACTCACTGAACTTCCCGCTCATTGTTGTCCTCAAATGACCGACGCGCGTCAATACGGTGAGCTTGCCACACAACTCATCCTCGAAGCCCGCCGCTCGACACAGACGGATACGTTGCTCAAATACAACGACGGCCTTGTGCGCTCGCTGATTCGCGAGCAGCGTGACCTCGAACGCGCCGCCGAGTCGCTCATGACTGAAAACACGGCTCCTCCACCCGCTCTGCTCATCATCCAGACCGCTATCAACCGCAACAAACGCTGCCTGCTCGCATACCACTCGCATCGCGTGGATCGGCTTCGCGACATGTATTGGGCAGTTGGTGGCGCGTTACCACATATCCTCACCAATCAAGACATCCGGAGCAAGCTCTCGCCTCATGAAGTGGATTACCTGCGCTCATATAACAGTTCAGTCATGGAATTTCGCGCAGAATTCTCGCATGAGCTCGACATTACCGCTGGGATCACCCATCCACCGAAGGATCTTCATGTGATGGTACGCGTCGTGCGTGACTGTGGGGTGATTCAGACGGAGCTGGGCAGTATAGACTTCAAAAAAGGCCAGAGATTCATGGTCAGAAGAGCGGATATTGAGCACCTCATCGTCCAAGGGTATTTGGAGGAGGTGTAGGTGGTGTTATTTAAATCAGAAGGCTCTGCCAAACACAGGCATCATAGGGAGACGCGCTCGAGTTTGCCCGACTTCAACCAGTTCGGCCATGCTCACCAGGCATGTCGCCTCCAAATCACCTCGAATCGTCTCGCGAGCGCCAGAAAGCATCGCAAAAGGTCGTCAAACACGTCGTAACCACACCCTAGCCCTCCCGAGGGTCTTCTCGTGCGAGCTCAACCCCGCCATCTTGCCTTCTTCATCCACTCCATCACCAGGCCTTTCAGACCTTGGTTTACGCTCCTCCCTTCCTCCAGACTCTTCTTCCACACCCAAGCCGAGCCAAAATCCTAACGGGGAAGACAGCCCCATCTCTGACCAAGAATGGGAGATCCGTACCGGACGCGCGATATACGTGCTCCAGGAAACACTTCCTACTTTCTTCAACACTGGACTCATCACCTCTATCGACCCAGGTACAAATGCACCACGACCCGCGACTTCGCTTCATCTCCCACTTGCCAATGCGCATCCAAAGGATTGGCAAATCTTTCACGATGATTTAGAGGGGATATATAGTAGGAACATGAAGCTACGGTATAGACCTCCTGTGAAACTACCTGCACCGTTCCCAAAGGTGCTGCATGTTGAAGGTGCGTGGAAATTTGTCTAGGTTTCTTCGATAACTGATTTATCCTTATGCATAGGCCTGCCGATGTACACCGCCTCATCTGCATTCGTTCGGCATACCATGAATGCTCTCTACTCCGACCTCCAAGTCGTCACGACAAAAGTTGTGGTCAATACCTCTCCACGAACACCTTCAACCTCCTCTTCCCCATCTTCGTCTTCAGAATGCAGCGATAGCAAGAAACGCAAGCTAAATCGCGACAAAACTCTCTTCATACGCCTCAATGTGACAGGGACGGCGCGTGTCAGTGGCAGCGCAGGTGAATGGGAGGTGTAAGTTCTACTTCACTTTCAGATCTTATCTTTTCCTTACAAATCCATGTTACAGCAACTCGACATACACATTCTCTCCGCTCTCTGGACTGATACACTTGCACGTCGTGGATTCGATAGAGCCTGCACCACACCAGGCCGTATATGACTCACTGCGTATGAGTCTTGGAAAGGTGTTTGGACTAGGGTGGCATGGTGGAGGTGTTGGCGGGAGGCTCGGAGGTACGAGAGACGGAGGCGGGATGGGCACGCCGACGGCTTGTGCGAAGGAGACACTGGAGGAAAGAGAGAGGAAAAGATGATGCCAAAGAAGAATTTGGATAGGAGAGATGCCGGTATAGGCTTAAATTACAGGGCATTAATATTATACACTCCCCACTCTAGTATGTATATCTTTATGAACCATAACTACACCCACCACTTCCTTCGTAAGTTTATGACTAGCCCTGTTTTGGGACAGTCGAAGGTAATTGCGAATATGAGTGTCTAAATTGATTACATCTTCAAGTTCTCTGTTAGTATATCGGTTAGTACACGCGCCTGTCACAGTGATGTCGGTCGCGCGAAAGCTGGGTTCGACTCCCAGACAGAGAGTAAATTTTTACAGCTGAAGGCAAGTTTTCCACAAAATTCACAGCTTTTCCCATATGCATACCGTAATATGTATCATTCTGAACTTTGCACCTTTGCATCATAACCAAACATCGAAGGATGATTTTTGAAATGTGGATGCTCTATACAGCATATTTGTCATTGTTATCTTCCAAGGTTTCTTGCCGTCAATGGAGTCCCCTCGGCCAAATTTCTCTTTCAACCTTTGCATTACACATACACCATCAGCGCTCAGCATAAATTTTCAATATATCGTTTTATTTGCGCCTTATAAAATGAAAAAGTGAGTACCGGTATACTAGTCCGAGTCTGTCGGAGTTACACTTCCAGTGCATCCTGTTGGCGCCGGCGACGCGTCGTCTCGGCGTATTTAATTTTGACAAGCCGGGGCAGAAAAGCACTTATATAGGCCCTAGCTCAAAGGCGTCGTTTTCAGCGATCACTGTCACCCCAA